TAGTTTGTGGTGGTTTTATACCAATATAAAGCCAAATGGTTGAGATTTCTGGTCAGCATACTTGTCCGGTCAGCATGCCTATCAACCACGTTATCAAAAGTCCACCTCCACATGCAATCAGTTAGTGGCATGTTCAAAGGACCGGTGAGTTGGGAAGCTCGAGTGGCAATTGTTCTGACGATCACTGCAATGATAGACTACCGGACTACCCAAGTCTAAGTGATGGATAGTAACTGTTAAGAAAACACCTCGGGTTTCATAATCATAGCTTACATATGTCTACAGACAATTTGAGTGATGTTTTAAAAATAAGCTTTGAAGGTAAAAAGTGGGGTGCCTCGCTCGCTTGTCTGTCTCGCTTGCTTATCGTATACGCTAATGAGAATTTGCGAACTTCATGAACTTATAAAACTTATATTACCTTGAACTTGAGCGTAATTAAAGCTTTTGAAGTTAGTGGGAATTTCACTGTTGATGCTATTGTAGCTGTTGCAAGCGGCTGTGGCTGGCAGAGAACTCTGATTGGCCAAGGTACACGTTGGCCTGAGTCACCACCGCGCTGATAAGATAACGCTGTAGCAACCCACTTCTCAACGCGCTCCGCCCTCATCATTCAATCCAAACCTAAACACACGATCACCATCATCACAGCGCAGCGCATCGCTTTCCCACGCGCGTGCACTCCAAGCATGGACGATACGCATCATCCATCACCCGAATCTTCACCAAAGGCGCCTCTTTCGCATCCCGTCAAGTACCATCGAAGGGTCACCCCGCGCGAGCGCAAGTCTCTGCCTTCGCCTCCAGCCTCTGACGAACGCAAACGGGCCTCGACCGCTACCGCTGATGAACTACCCCAAGGGCTTGTCGAGTTCAAGCGCAATTGTAGGACTGGCGACTACTCGCCGCTGACGAATTTTCACCTTAGCAAGGCTGATTACACCCGCCTTCACGACGAGATCCAGGCTACCTTTCGACGCTTCGATTACAACCCTCGACGTCAACTTATCAGCTTTCGCATGCCTTCCGCGCTCCACGACTTATTCATTTCATTCTTTGGAAGCGCTATCTTGAATAAAATTCGCGAAATCGGACGCCAGAACCGACAAGCTCGCGCCTTCACCGAGAGCATCGACAATGCTTTGTCCTCTCGTGTTCTTCTGAACGATGGCGATGACAAATGGGAACAACAACCGGATGCGCAGTTCGAGCATCACGAAGCCCGATACCCTGGCTTAGTTGTCGAGGTTGCATTGACTCAAGACGCGAAGGAGTTGCGACGGATTGCCAAACGGTACATCTATTATACCGATGGACAGATCAAAGTGGTTCTTGGCATTGATCTCAATGAAGACAAAGAGTCCACCATATCAGTGTGGAAGCCCACATTCAGCCCAGCACAAAATGGTGATGGAGTTGACATGGACATTGAGCAAGTTGTTCAGCCACAGGTATATCTTTCAACACCGTACGTGAAAGGAACAAGCTGACTGATTTAGCCCTTTCGAGACGCCAACAAGAACCCTGTAAACGGTGCCTTGACATTACACCTTCACGACTTTGCGCCTGACAATCTATGTCAAGACTGCCCCAACATTCCTTTCTCAATCCCATACCTCGACATGTCAGACATGATGGCTAAGGCCGAACGGCG